CCGGTCACCTTTTAATATGCAACTAAAAATTCTACGCCATCACAAGGGGATCTTTATAAATTAGGGGGAATCCATATGAACGTGAATAAATTTTCGGAAAATAATTTTAGATGTAATTATTTACTAAATCCTTGAGGGAAAACTTAGTCAAAGGATTAATTTTGAGAAATCAAATCCAACAAATTAAATTGGAAGCTAAAATAATGGAACAAAATTTGATTAGATATTATCATTTACAATTCGGTTTCAACCGAAAATTAAAGTGGCCTAGATATTGGGTTATGTTGTTGGATTTAATAGATACTATAGCCTATATAAATTTATGAAAAGTTAGAAAAATTAGATCTTACTCCATTCACCCCTATAAACATCGAGATTACTCCTATCAGGAGATAAAAGAAAAGAAACCACCAACCACAAAACACATAGATTCTCTAGCTTGAAATCAGTACATAGATACTTTGCACGTAGAATTGAAGACATATGAGGAAGTTAGCAAGTACTGTAACTTAAGAGGTAAGATCATCGATCACTCCATTATATGTATGAGAGTTAGATCATTTGTTAATAGTATGATGATAAAAAATGTTGTAGTTAATATTATCTCGGAGTCTTTGAGTGAACTCAAACAACGGAAAGGTGCGGGGTTTTACGGCGAATCTTTCTAAAACGGGTTTTAAAATTCTTTACTCTTGTATATATATTTTTTCTTTTGTGGAATGATGTTTGTGTCTACCGTATCTTTTTATTCTCAATTGCCTATAAGCCGTGGATTACCGTTATTATTGTCCTTGTGATTTTGATTTTCATTGTCTGTTGTTGACGAAGGTTTACTTTCATCTTTCTATTCGTGATTAGATGATAATTTTGTTTTTGGTGAAACTTAGATTTGTTGATGATGATGATCAACGGTGATTTTTATATTCGATCATGTCAAAAGAAACAAAAAAATTAATCCTAATTTGATAAATAATACGACCGGAACATTCATAGTATGTTAATTTGTCGGCCATCAAAAGAGAATGGCTCTCCTTAGAATATGTGCCACAAAATGATTCCAAAGTCGGAGAAGGTGATACTAAAATTACCATATCCTTGGGGGTTTTCCTTTTCATTCTTGATATGATTTTCTTTTTTTAGAGGTTCTGTTTCTTGGACTGCTACTTGTTAATGGCGTTTGCTGCTTATTTTTGTTATTCGTGTTTCTATAATCTTACTATTCTAAATGTCGTAATCTTATTTCTTGAAAAATCTTACAGTGAAATTCGCTGATAAATATTAACTTTTCTTGCGCGGTGATATCTTTTTTCCTCCCATTACCAATTTTTAGCCTTTTTAAAACTATATGGTGATTGGACTTTACTTCGTGAACTCAACTGCTTGGTTAATTGTCAATTTACTTCTACGCCGTCTCCTCCCATTACCAGTTTTTTTTTTTTTTTTTTTTGTTGTTTTTGTTAAGCAATACTCCCCTATGCCCATGGTGTAAAGCACCAATTCTGAACTTGTAAAACTTTATGGGAATGTGATTTATTTATTTATTATAAAATTTTATTCTAATTAAAATAAGTCAGTTTAATTTAGGTTGTTTATGGTGGGAAAGAATTTTTATTTTATTTTTTTATTTTTTTATTTTATTTTTTTTGTAGGTTTTATCAACCACATTAACTGTGTTGACAATTAAAATTTATCCCAATGTCTTCCCCAACGAACGATGATGGCCAAAGTTGTGAGAAGGATGCATTTGTGGTGCAGTCAGAATATGATCCGATCAATGTTTCTTCGAGTACGGATATGGAGGTTGACAATAAGAAGGGTGAACTACCCCAAAATGGAGATGACATAAGTACATCACCAATGGCATCTAACCAGTGGCAGGATGATTTGAAAGAAGAAGAGGTGATGAAGATGACTTTTGACATTATAGATGACGCTGAAGCATTTTACAGAACATATGCAAAATGTTTGGGATTTGGTATTAGGATACAAGATGGGAAAAACAAAGATGATGGCCATATTATTTTCAAACTTTGGGTTTGTAATAAAGAAGGACAAAGGAGAGAGCGGACAAGCCAGAAAGAGGATATACATGGGGTTTGTGATCTAGATGGCGAAAGTGAAGAGAACCCAATCAACACACCAAAGAAAAGAAGGCCAAAGCCATACACCAGAGTTGAATGCAAAGCTAGATTTCGAGTGAGATACATGAATGATGTGGAAAAATACATTGTCACACACTTTGTAAAGGAGCATAACCATGAGATGCTTAGTGGAGAGTGTGTTCCTTTTCTTCGATCACATAGATCTGTTCAAGATACGGACATAGCTCAGACCTCTTCAATGCGAGCAATAGGTTGGCGACCAAGTGATATAATGAAATACTCTGCTCTTCAAGCCGGGGGATACCATAAGGTAGGATACACTCTTAAAGATTTGCATAATGTCATGGCTGCTGAGGAACAGAAACAACTTAAGGATGGAGATGCTGAAGGTGCGTTAGCTTATTTTTGTGCAAAAAAAGATTTTGACCCGTTAATGTACTATAAACATGATGTGGATGATGAAGGTAGACTTTCAAAATTATTTTTGTGTGATTCAAGGTCCATTAGTGACTACAAGGTTTTTGGTGATGTGTTGATGTTTGACTCCACATATCGTACCAATGTGTACGGTAAACCATTGGTTATTTTTCTGGTGTCAACAACCATTATATGACAATAGTTTTTGGTTGTGCATTATTATTAGATGAAGTTGAGGCTGGATGCAGTAATTACAGACGGAGATCATGCAATGAGAAAAGCTATTAAGAGGGAATTCTCCAGAGTGAGGCATAGGTTATGCACTTGGCACTTTCAAAATAATGCTTCGGCTAATGTTTGATCTAAAGAATTTAGGGATAGTTTTGGTAAATTCATAAAACTGAAGGGCACAGAAGAATTTTGAGAATAAATGGAAGGAACTAGTTGAAGAATGTAGCTCGCAGGATAATTCTTGGGTTAAAGATATGCATGAGAAACGGTCAAAATGGGCAGACGCCTACCTAAGGGGACATTTTTGGGGAAACATGAGAGCAACATCCCGGTGTGAAGGCATGAATGCAGTGTTCAAAAGATATTTGCACTCGAAGATGAGATTGTATCAATTTTTGAGGTCTTTTGAATTCGGTTTGGTAAAGATGTGAAATAAGGAGGCAGAAGCAGTCACCGTCACATGTAACACCAAGCCAGTTTTGATCTCTCACTGGCCTAATTTTGAGAAGGACATAAGCGATCTATGTACAAGGAATGTGTTCTTTCAAATTCGTGAAGAACTGGAAGAGGCGCTGATGCTGATTCCTAAGCTTATTCAGGAGACAGGTTCTTCTAAGGTTTACGAAGTGACATCATACTCAAACTCTTCAGCTTATTGGAACATTTCATACAATGTTGATGAAATTCAATGTCGATGTTCTTGTGTAACCTTTGAAACTGCTGGGTGGCCCTGCTCTCATATATTTTCAATGATGAAATCTGAACATTTGCAGAAGTTTCCTTCACATTGTGTACTTAACAGATGGACGAGAAATGGAAAAGAATATGCCAATGGTGGTATTCAAGGTTCTATTCCTAAAAGTCTTACTCAGGCTGCAAGATTCGGGGTATTAAGCAGCAAGTGCAATCAAATTTGTTATTATGCATCAGTTTGTGACGAAAGGTATGAGACATTAACACCAATATTAGTGGACCTCACTGAGCGTATGAGGCTGATATCTGAAAAGGCCAGTGCACCAGACAATGATATTGGCAGCTCCCATGTTGCGAAGAAGGCTCGATTTGGAGTTTGTGATCCAGCGCAGACAAAAACAAAAGGTCGTCCAGTAAAAGCAACTGGTTCAACTCCAACTCCAAAGAAACAGCGAAGATGTAGTATCTGTGAGTAAATACTTCAGTCCTTTTTTTGATATTGAAATTTAGTTTCTTAGTTATTTAAAGAAATATATCTAATCTTTATTCTTTTTCATTCATCAGTATATTGGGTCATAAGAAAACAACTTGTCCAATGAGGGGAACAAACAACCAGAACAACAATCTGGCAAGTCAGGTCGAAGAATCTGATGCAACTTGAGTTTGCTAAGATATGGTGAGTTTATAATAGAGAAAAATTATTGATGCATTTCTGCAGTTTAATTTTATATATATATATATGAAATAATTATATCATATTCGACATTGACTAGGAAGGTGCATGGGAAAAGAGGTTGGAGGAGCTGAGCAAAAGGAAGATGTACTTGTGAAATAAATGTAATATATGCCATTCATTTGACACTAGCGCTCTAGCTGATTTTGTTTGAAATTTAGGATTACTGAAGTTTGAATGGTATATGAGTTTCTTATTTATTTAAAATATTCACATTGGATTTTTTTTATTGTTGAAAATTTTCATTGATCTATGTCATTTAAGATGGTTGAAATATTTATATATTTGATATTCACGTTGAATTTTGGCTATTTGTGTCACTTGTATTTTTTTTCTTTTTTGAAAATTTTTATTAATATATGACATTTAAGATGGTTAAAAAGGAAATATATATTTGAAGAGATATCCGAGCTCAATTGCAAGCATCTACAATATTTAAATGCCTTTTAAACAAAAAATAAAAACAATCATCTTGTTACAAATTTTTTAATATAATCTTTTTGTTGTTACTTTACCTTTTATATTAGTGATGAAAGGCTTGTTGGAAGCAACACACATAATATACATATCAAGAAATTTGTCATCTTCAATAAGTACGAGCAGCACCATACACAATAGCTTCAAAAGAAACAATAATATAATATATTAAAGACTAGCGAAGTTTAAAACAAAAAAAAAAGGATATAATTACAAAGCCTTAAATATCAACAATAACCACTAACACATTCTTCTAAAATGTTGATGTCCAAAAAACTCAAATAATCCTTAGAATGTAAAAACACAGAAAATTGCAAATAATTCAAACACTACTTCCATTTTGATCACTACTGCAAGACATGAACTTCTTGGATGCCCAAATTCTGGAACAACCTCTTCCTACAATCATTTTGATCATGGAAAATAATTTTGACTAACAAATCCATTCGATCCAATTCCGAATTCAAGCTAAAAGAGACCCCTTCATCCATAATAAAGTAAAGCTCCATGAATTTGATCACGTACATTCCACAATCGTACCTGTTTGAAAAAAAATATATTTGTTCTTTTACTATGATGATCATAATTTCGTAGAGTTTTTCAAACTTACAAAAAAAATAAATAGATTTTTAATTAAGAAATTAAGAACATAATAAAACTCACCAATTACGTTGTTTAGGCAACCAGTTTGGTACCTCAATTGGAAAAGAGACGATGTTGCCTTTGTATGTGTTGCCAAATCCTATTTCAAGTACATCCTGCAACACTTTAACCTTTTCATAGAAAAGTAATACGTTAGCAAACATGGAGTTGTATGAATGAACAAATATAAGAATTTTGTTTTTATTACATTTTTGCATACTACAAATTATTACCATTTTTACCACCAATGCTTTTCTTTGATCGCAAGAAGATGCCATTGAATCTAGCATTGAAACACGCCTTTCCTCGAAATTAATCATACGTCCATACCAATGGCGACCTCCATCATTTATTGGAATGAACATCTATTATTTATATACATTCAAATAAAACAAGGGAAAGTAAGAAGATTATACATTTTTTAATTACCAAATCAAAATGTAAACTCTAATCTTTTCAACTAGAAATTTCGTATTTAAAAAAAAAGACATGGTACCTTTTCACAGCTATGAATGTCACCACTGTAAGTATCTTGCGTCAAATATTTTTTCCATATCTTCTTTAACACCTTACCATCTCTAACATCTGACTTTAATTCCTCCTGCAACAAAAAATAAATAATTATAAATATGTTAACTCGTGTTGCAATTTTAATAATGAAATATTCTTTAAATTAATACCGCGATATAGTGTGGCAAAAACCAAACACGAGATTGCCCCTTTCCCCACACGGCATGTTGTTTCAGAGTTTGAATATTGGTGAAAATATTTATAACCTACAAAAAATAAACGTCAACTTATTTTAAAATGACTACCACAATAATTAATAATTTGTTCCTTTTAAATAACAATTACCTCAGAATTCAACCATCCTTCGGGTGTCAATGTGACCAACGAAGCACGAGTCACAGTTTCCATATAAATTTCAGCTAAACACTCGCTACAAGAAAGAATTTTCAGATAACCAATTAGGTATGTAAGACATCATTAAATATAAATTGATATACGTGCATACGAAGAACATATAAAACATTGAACTTACAGTGAGTCCCCTTCATTAAACACATATTGAATCACTTTTTGTTGTGGTCTATCAAAGTAACCTGAAATCTCCTGCAAAATTATACATAATAAGCAAATACAAATTTTTGATAAATAAAATACTACAACAAAACATTATAGCATACCTTTATGACATCCTGCATATTCACCGTTGGTTCTGCCTCTAAGTTGTCTTCCGCCACCTAGAAATGTCATAGTAACTATCATATTATACTTAAAATTAACAAACATCAAACAATTTACCCGAAGTTCAGGACATTGACTCCTCGAGTGGCATCCCCGATTACAGAAGTCACATTTAAGGAGTGCTTGTGGACAATGATCAAAATCATGTCCAAATACATCGTGATATTCACAATACGGCGCATTCTCATCAAATGGTTTGGCTTCTTCGAATGGTGAACTAGTTGTGAAGATGACCTAAAAGAATAAATTATTATGAGTACTATATCATTACCATATATGATACTATATCATTAAATCGATACCTTTTCTTTGCAAAGTGGTGGTGCCTTTGATGTGTTGATTACCTACAAATCATATAATATTGTGAGACCTACCAAGATTAAACAGACTAAAAAACTAAAATTCAAAAAAAAATACATATATATTTTAATCAAACTTGTATTCAAATTAAACAAACCTTCTCATCCTTAACTATCTTTGTGTCAAGGATACATACATCTGCTTCTTCCCATTCTGAGCAACTTTTTGTCTTAGCAGTTGCATCCTTTGGCCCTTTATTGTTCACTTTCAAAGTTTGTACTGGTGCAGCTGATGTGTTCATTACCTACGAATAAAAAAATATTATGAAACCTTCAATAAAAACAAGATTAAAACACTAAACAAGTAAAAGTCAAATATATATATATAGTGAAATTTTTACTCGTATTTAAACACACCTTCTCATCATTGGTTTCATTCCAATATTGATCCATTTCAATGAATTCGATATCTGCTTCAACCAATTCAGGACAACGCATTTTCTTTGCAATTGCATCCTTTGGTTCCTTGCTTTTCACTTTCAAAGATTTGGATTTATTACTGTGATGCAAATTACGGCTTCTTTCCAATTGTTTCATTGTGGAAATACTTGAGGGTGATACAAACTGTTTTGACCTGATTCCTTAAAATTCACTCAATGAGAGTATAGGAGCTTTCTCCGGAGTAGTATATTTCGTACTTTCTCCCATGTTAGCACTCAAAAGGAATTCAGGATTTGGCATAACCCTTCTAGACTTTCTTGGAGGAGCCAAATGATTTGGACCATCTTGTGGATTTAATTCTGTTGACCATCCCGTAGACAATATAGCTGGACCATCCTGTGGATTGGATGCATCCTTTTCCTGAGCAAGTCTTGGAAGTGAATCTGGTTCCATGGATAGAGGTCCAGAAGAGAAGTACCTAAAATAACCAAAAAACACCATACGTGTTGGCACACTTATACGATAAATCTTTTACTCAAACAAGCTAGATAGGTTTAGCTGATTCAAGTTACACTATATCAACTTTTCAGTAAATCAGTCTGGTTAGAGTATTTAAATTGAGAAAAAAAAATAAAGAGCTAGTTTGATGATCCTTGAATACCGAAATAATCTTTATCAAACATAAATAAAATCTATGATAAGTACATTCAGGAATCATCCCAAACCAGCTGCAAAATTCAGAAGTACATTCGAAAAAACATCCCAAAACAGCTGCAAAATTCAGAATTTCAACATTGACATGTTATGCTGAAATGAGTTTTTTTTTTTTTTTTTATAAAAAAAACAGATTAAGATTCCATGTAATGGTCCATTAAAATTGAATCTATTTATATTGAGCATTCAATAGTTTCATGGAAAAAAACTTAACAAAAGTCTTCTTAACAGTGGGGAACCAATGTTCCAAATCAGCAGCTCACGCTAAAGTATTTAATGATTTTCAACAGGTCTTGAGAAATTTCAAAAATTTTTAAACCATATCCCTGCTTCATTATGAAACTTTGAAGAATCAGACAAACTTTGACACACAAGAAAAAACTCAATAACCTTAATCAAATAATGCTTGCAAACATAAAGAGCCACAACCATATTTTCACACAACCATACGAAGAGTACCTATGTTGTAATGCTTGTTGTGCTGAAATCCTGGTTTCTGGATCATAAGTGAACATCTTTGATAAAAGATCCAAGGCATCATCGGTAGCCATTGGAAAAAGTGTGTGGAGTGGTTGCCTAGCAACATCTTTATATTCCAGAAAATGAGGCAAATACATCATTCTTGATTGCTATGAAGGCTTTGGAGTTCCAAAAGCAGCAAAGATCTTCCCCAGTTGATCAATATCACTATTTCCCTGTAGCACGTTTGGTACGAAGAGAAGGTAACATGTTCAGCACGAAAAGGTCAAAACGCGAATGCTTTTCAACCATGTAGTTGTTAACTTGTATTCAAGAAATTTCATTCCATCCACAAATCAACTTGACGTGTTGTATTATCTTCATCTTTCAATTCAAACAAGTGAAACAAAGCCATCCAAGACTTCAAGGTGCAATGGAGAAAAATACAACAAATGTCTACAACAAGATTAAACATTGTCTTTCACAAAGGATTTGAAAATTAAAGAGAAGGAGGAAGGTAGCAGCTTATATACTTTTTTTAATCCAATTAGTTGGGTAGATTGTAAAGAAATCAGAAAATTGGGGCACATATATCTTTTAACTTCCACCAATGCAGTAAAGCATAATCTCAACCAATAAGTAATGCACGCTCATATTGCTTCTTGAATTCAAGCAAGAAGGAACGCTAACAAACTATTCATTTGAAAACCATAAATATTTACTCATAACTTAAACAAGTCAATTAGATGGGCTATTACAAGCTAACCAATTTCTCAGGTATTAGTCATTGTAATAAAATTTTATCTCCATGAATGGATGTTGCAATAAAAGTTCAGCAAATATACAAGCGGCAGCCCAAATATCCATGCTTGGACCGTATTGGTTTGAACCAAACAATAGCTCTGGTGCTCTATACCAGCGGCCAAATACCTATACAAATGCAATTATATGTGCCAAAATTTAGTATTCTTCCATCTGCAGCGTTAAAATATTAGGAAAAAAAAAACTAAAACTCTACAAAAGGGTTTAGGGACAAGGGAAAATGATGCTATAATGTTAACTCTGAATTTAGCACAAAGATAAATTAAAGGCCATATTGAAAGCACATTTTGTAGCAAATCGTTCATTCTTTTAGCAAGATGTTAAAACAATGATAATCTACCATAAACAGAGATGAATTGTATCAATAGAACTCGGGCAACGAGATTCAAAAATCTGAGGACATGAGCCTCCTAAACAGCTCAAACCAGGTTTTTTCAACTAAAATTTGGTGATCGACATGTTCTGTTTAAACTGAATTTTTTCATAGTCTATAACTCCGTTTTGAAATCTGTGAAATCCACATTAAACTACAATAAATGAAGAAGAGTTCCAGAAAAAAAACCCCCAGAAAAGAGTTCATGATTTAAGAGAAATGGTGCTTGCCGAGTTCACCAAAAAAAATAAGATAAATATTACTAGCTTGGATTATAATTTTTGTAGATAATGGAAGCTAGGTCGTTCCCACGAGGACAGCTAATTACCAAATTTGTTGTAAGGAAAAACTGTCAGTCAACAAGATGTCACTCAGGAGAATGAAAACAGTCACTCAGGGGAATGGAGGCCAGGGGTGTTCTTCTCCTCTTCCTGCTGTCGTAGTTGTTTTATTAGCACTGTAATGGTTGAGTTCTTGTTCATTCAGCTCACTTATAACTCTAAGTCAGTTCCCATTTTTCCTAGAGTCATCTTTGCAACCTTAACAACCTATTTTCCAATGATTGATTCCAGCTACAAAGTCATTAAGTTCTTAGGCCTTCAAGAATGCTTATGTTAACTAAGTATATTCCTATCTTAGTTAAAACCATAGACTGTTACCTCTATGTCATAAGTTAAAGTTGAAACAATCCAAACCAAGTTTATCCTTCCAGATCTCCCTTAGTTCTAGCATGCATTCAATTTAGTGATCAAGTAAATGAATGTAGAAAAACTTTCAACCATAAAACAAGGAACAAAACCAGTGCTTTGACAACTACAACATCAGTTGAGGAGAATAACCCCTGGAAACTATTTAGCTACTCATACGGATAAATTCTACATCTACTACATCGAAGGACATCATAGAAGTATGCATAATAAATAAAGTTCAAGCTAACAGTCAAGAGATGAGAAGGAAGCTTGTGCAGTTTCGGAGTCACTCCTCGGAGTGAAAGGGTTCACTCGTGGAACTGAAGAAGAAACTGGGTTGCTACTCTTCAACTTGGCTTCCTCACTGAGTTGTTGCTGCTTCTTCTTCTTTCTTGTCTTCTACCTCGAGTTTTTCTGAATGTTTTTGCAACTGAAAAGCTAACCAGAGACTGATGGAGAGATGCCTCTGTGAGAGTGCCGTTCCCCTTCTTTATAGTACTTTGCAACCGGTGTCTTCATCATGAGAACCTCCCCATGCTTGGAGTTGTTTAATCCTTCCAATGTCTTGAGCCTGCAATCCAACTTGGCCGTTCCTTTTCTCTCTTCCAGCAGCAGCCGTTTTGCTCTCATTGATCAGCAGTGGTGGCTGGGATTGCGGCTGAGGGACAAGCATGCCTCAAGGAGGAGGCAAGGTCATTAATGACAAGATGCTTCTTGTCTAAGGCCCTTCTTCTTCGTCCAGCTCAGCACCCTTGCCTCAACAGTCCATAATTTGCTCCTTTGGCTCCCAATTTTCAGCAATTATTCAGTCCGGTCCTTTCCTAACAATAATATAAAAATGAGCTAAGTAAATTGCACCAATGTTAGGAAATGCCCCCAATTGTTCATCAAATACAAAGTTAAGTGTGATGCTTTTATGTAACAATTTAACCATTATCAACTCCCCCAAACTGGAAGAATTGCTTGTCCTCAAGCAAAACACTAAACTTTTGTTGGCACTTTCAGAATTGCACATAACAACTAGGGAAGACAAAATGACTGAAGATTGACTTATCCCCCTGAGTGAGGATTCCCACTCAGGTGAGTGACACTAAACAAGCAACAACCTTAAACACAACCGGATAGGTCTTGTCAACTTTTCCGTCTCGATTCAAGTGAAGAAAACATACATTGAGGATACCAAATCTTTCTGCAATCCAGAGTCAAACAACCAACCTTCACAGGGAATTTAGAATGCATATGCCACAAGTGTTTGTTCATGCCAAACCTACCAATCCATTCTAAGTTAACCGGTTAAACTTTTGGTGGTCATTCTTGTGACCTGGTCTTGCCCAAGTTACTTGACTCATTTACCTACCGAGACTTCAATCTCGGAGTTCTGCATGACCTTTATGCTTTATTTATTTAGGAAATCTTTTTTTTTTTTTTTTTTTGAATGGGAGTAAATGGACCAACCTACAGGGGTGTTATTCAACCTTATCTCTCCACTGCCTTATACCTCAACCCTTATTACTCCAACAGTTTGGGACTTTTTGTGGTGGTTCCTTGCTGTTACCCCTAAGGTTTCGGTTGATCCATTCCCTAAGAATTTTTTTTTTTTTTTCATATGTGAAAGCAAGCAGGCTGTGAATGGGTACCACAAAGGAAATCTCAGATTTACGGCATTTCTCATCTAATTGTAGCTCAGAACTAGACACAGCTCACAACAGTGGATTAGTCATGCCAAATTTTAAGATTTATGTTCTAGGCATTCACTTCCACGAGTGGCATTGTTCATGTGTGTGAGTGAGTGTCAGCCATTTTCTCCTTTCATGCATCAGACTTGGTATCAAAAAGTGATCAAAAAGTGGTTTAGCAAAATTGTTTTTCAAAACCATTATCATCATAGACTGTTGACAGCTCCTTAGAAGATTTTCATTACAGAGTCAATCCAGACATGAACCTAATGGACCTAAATGGCATTGTCCTGACATTGACCGACCTAACCGAAGACTAAGTACAACTAACTACTACTGCATTACTCCCCCCAAACTTATCCTAAGCATTGTCCCCAATGCTTAACAACACCAACCTGGCAACAACAAAAAACAGAAAACAAAAAGTACAGAAAACAACACATGAAACATAAAACAGGCAACAAATAAATTGCTGATTAAGGGAAGCAGAACAGCACTTCCCTGAGTGTTCATTGAGGCATTCCGTGAAGTGGGTGGACTGGCGGATCATGCGGCATTGGGCAGTTTTCAGGGCATCCAATGCACTTGTGCATTTCCTGCAGGAATTTCTCCGTCCTCATCTGGCATTGGTGGACGTAGTCCAGGATGAACCTGCTCTGCTTGTTGAAATCCCTCTGCTTCAATTGTCCAGTGGAAGTGGGAGCGGATGTTGTTTGTCTCGCCCATGCGGCACCTGGGGGTTTCTGGTCCAGCTTATGCATCCTCAATGGTTGCTGCAAGTTGCTTTCTGCGTCGGTGTGCAGGAAGGTCACCCCTGCCCTTTTGCATAGCATGGTGACCATAACTGGGAAATACCAGCTCTTCACCTTTGGATCAGTGATGCATCGGGTAAGTTGGTCTCGGATGACTGAGGCTGCATCAAATGATGTGTCTGTGGCAATGGCATACAGCAGCAGAGCCATTTCGTAGGTGACCTTAGCAGTGTAGGATGTTGGCATCAAATTGCAGCAGATGAAATGGTGCCACAGATTTAAGTCAGGCGTTTGCAACGCGCTGGCTGGAAACCCCAAAGGGATTTCTTGATCATCCATTTCCCAGCTTGTGCCCTCTTTTGCCAATCTGGACAGAATGGCCTGTTCCAGCGGTTGATTTGGATGCAGGGCAGCCAAGGTTTCTCTGTAATCTGTGCTTATTCTTGGTAATTTCCAGATGGCCCTGATGGCCTCTGTGCTGCAATTGACACTGATGCCCCTGACGAACACTCCATCTCTGGGGGCAGTGTGGAAGTTGCCGTAAAATTCTTGCACAATCTGGATCCGTGGCTTTATAGGTGGTTTGGAGAAGGTCTCCCAGCCATGGCGCTTGATGTAGGCAAAAGCTGCGCCATCTTCACCGATTCCCCTTTCTGGAATGAACTTTCGCCTTATGTGCTTCAAAAAGAAATCCCAACCCTTCTTCCTTGGAAACAACCTGGGCTCCCATTCATCTGTGATGCCATTAAGGGCTTGTTCTTGCAGTGCCCTTGGTGGTTGTGGAGGTGGCCGTGGGGTGGGTTCTCTGGCAGGGGATGCTGGTGGAGTGGGCGTTCTTTGCCGTTCAGGAGAGGGCGAGGATGAGGAGGATGATATCCTTCTCCTTGTGTTGGAGGCGTTTTTGCGGGCAGCAGCCTTCCTCCTTGCCGGCGGCATCTTGTGACAAACCCTAAGAGTTGTATTGGCAAAATTGAAAGAGGGGTTTTGTGATTGAATCTGAAAATTGCCTTATGTGCCTGGAAACTTAGAGAAATTGTTAGTATGCTCACACAGGGAAGTGGTGGTTGCAGGAGTGATTCTCGGATTAAGAAGAAAATGAAGAAGACGAAGCAATGAAGGAGTTATGAGTTAATGCACAGCAGTTAAAGTTTTTGGAAATCGTGGCTGACTGACGTGACTCAAAGAGGTGGACGTGGTTAAAATTGAAATTTGAAATTTTTCGGAAAAAATTCCCCCCCAAACTTAAATCATAACTGCAACCCAAAAGGTGACTTTTTGCAGAAAGTGTCGTACAGTTGTTCTCACTCAGGCGAGTGGACTTTTCTACTTGCGTGAGTGACGTCAGGGTTAGAAAATTGGTAGGATTCCTTCCCGTAGGTTCACTCAGCTGAGTGACCTTCTTCACTCCTAGGAGTGAGTTTACCTGAGGCCCTTTCTGTTACACCTTTTGAAATCTGTTGGGGTGGCAAATTTCTTGTTTAATCCTGCAAAAATTAGAGTAGCTCATTGTCAGCCATACCAAAGCAAAACGTATGGGTTGCCTCCCATAAAGCGCATTGGTTTTAAGTCTCATGCCAGACTTCAAAAGAATTTTCAGTAAAGTTCTTTAAGGACCAAAACTTGATAGTTCTGTCCTTTACTCCCTTCTGTCCATCCAAGGTATGGTTTAAGCCTCTGACCATTAACTAAAAAGGTGTTGCCACTTTGTGGATTCATGATCTCCACTGCTCCATGAGTTAGGACCTTGTTGATTTTGTAGGGCCCAGTCCATCTTGACTTCAACTTCCCTGGAAAGAATTTCAGCCTGGAATTGTACAACAAGACCTCTTGTCCTTCTTGGAAGTTCTTTTTGACAATGTGTTGATCATGGTAAGCCTTAGTTTTTTCTTTATAAACACTGGACGATTCGTATGCTTCTAGTCTGAATTCTTCCAGTTCATTCAACTGAACCAATCTCAACTCCTTGCTTTTACCCGGATCAAGATTCAGTTCCTTGATAGCCCAATAAGCTTTGTGTTCCAACTCTACTGGCAAGTGGCATGCTTTTCCATAGACCAGTTTGAATGGAGACATACCAATGGGGGTCTTGTATGCTGTCCTATATGCCCATAAAACTTCATCCAACCTTGAGGACCAATTCTTCCTGGTAGAATTAACAACCTTTTCCATGATTCTTTTCACTTCCCTGTTTGACACTTCTGCTAGCCCGTTTGATTGTGGATGGTATGGTGTTGATACTTTGTGCCTGATTCCATATTTCTTTACCATGGCTGCAAATGACTTGTTACAGAAGTGTGATCCTTCATCATTGAGTATCATCCTGGGTGTACCAAACCTGGCGAAAATATTTTTTCTTAGAAACCTGAGAACAGTTTTAGCATCATTGTTCTTTGCAGCTACAGCTTCTATCCATCTTGAAACGTAGTCCACTGCCAGTAGGATGTAGGAGTTCCCAAAGGATGACACGAAGGGACCCATGAAGTCCATCCCCCACACATCAAACAGTTCCACTTCAAGCACGTTCTGCTGTGGCATTTCATTTTTCCAGGAAATATTTCCTGTCCTTTGGCACCGGTCACAGCTTTTGACAAATTTCCTTGCATCTCTGAACAGGGTTGGCCAGTACAGTCCAGCTTGTAGAACCTTGATTGCCGTCCTTTGATCGTTGAAATGTCCACCAAAGGGTGAACTGTGGCATTTGTGTAACACCTCTGTGAATTCAGAGTCTGGAATGCACCTTCTGATCAACTGGTCCGCACATCTTTTGAACAAGTAGGGTTCATCCCATAGATAGAGTTGAGCATCATGCGAGAATCTCTTACGTTGTTGTGGGGTGAGATCTGGGGGAATAACACCAGTAACAACAAAGTTAGCAAAATCTGCAAACCAGAGGCCTGTTACCTGTCACTCTCATGAGTGTGCCTGTCACTCGCCAGAGTGACTCATCAGGGAATTTTTCTGAGATTGGAGTTGTGTCTTCTGGAATTTCTTCAAGCCTTGACAGATGGTCTGCTACTTGATTCTCAGCACCCTTTCTGTCTCTTATCTCCAAATCAAATTCCTGCAACAACAACACCCATCTAATCAACCTTGGTTTAGACTCTTTTTTGTTGATCAAGTACCTGATGGCTGCATGGTCGATATAGACTATGACTCTCATCCCTAGCAAATAAGCTATGAATTTGTCAAATGCAAATACAATTGCCAGCATTTCCTTCTCTGTAGTGGTGTAGTTGACTTGTGCGGAGTTAAGGGTTTTACTAGCATAGTAAACCACATGTAACACCTTGTTTCTTCTTTGTCCAAGTAAAACACCAACTGCAAAATCACTTGCATCACACATTAGTTCAAAAGGTTGTGACCACTCGGGTGTGATGATCACAGGTGCGGTGATGAGTTTGTTTTTCAATTCAGTGAATGCATTTAAATAGGATTCATCAAAAATAAAAACAGTGTCTTTTTCAAGCAAATTGCACAAAGGTTTAGAAATTTTCGAAAAATCTTTAATGAACCTCCTGTAAAAACCAGCATGGCCTAGGAAACTTCTCACTCCCCTGACTGTGGTTGGTGGGCTGAGCTTCTCAATGACTTCAATCTTTGCCTTATCCACTTCAATTCCCTCTTGTGAGATCTTATGCCCCAAGACAATTCCTTCAGTTACCATAAAATGGCATTTCTCCCAGTTGAGAACCAGGTTGGCTTCTATACATCTTTTTAGTATCAGCCCGAGGTTGTCCAAACATGCATCAAATGACTCACCAAAGACCGAGAAGTCGTCCATAAAGACCTCAATTATGTCTTCCACCATATCAGAGAAAATGGCCATCATACATCTTTGAAAAGTAGCCGGTGCATTGCACAGTCCAAATGGCATTCTCTTGAAGGCAAATGTGCCATAAGGGCAGGTGAAAGTCGTCTTCTCTTGATCATCGGGGTCTATGGCAATCTGGTTGTAACCTGAGAAACCATCAAGGAAACAATAATACATGAATCCAGCTAATCTATCCAGCATTTGATCAATAAAAGGAAGGGGAAAGTGGTCCTTTCTGGTAGCTTTATTAAGCTTTCTATAGTCCATGCACACTCTCCATGAATTGTTCAGCCTTGTTGGGATTAGCTCCGGAGGTCATTCTTTACCACCGTGATTCCTCCCTTCTTGGGCACGCACCGCACCGGACTCATCCACTTGTCATCGATATTGGGAAGATAATCCACGCATCCAGCAGACTTGATAATCTCCTTTTCACCACTTCCTTCATGACTAGGTTGAGTCTTCTTTGTCCTTCAATGGTTGGCTTGGCATCATCTTCAAGCAGGATTTTGTGCATGCATATGGAGGGGTGATGCCCTTAATGTCGGCAATTGACCACCCAATGGCTTCTTTGTGCAATCTCGGTACTCTCGGCAATTTGTCCTCTTCGATGCACTGTGAGCATAGAAGAAATGATTACAGGTAAGGTGTTACTTGCTCCAATATAGGCGTACTTCAAATGTGAGGGCAAAGGATTAAGTTCGAGATGAGGTGGTTCTTCAATTGAAGGTTTGAGGCATCTCCCTTCCTTGGTCAGGTTATCAGTTCAAAGGGTTGTTGTGTAGGATGCCACTTGGGGGAGTGGTTCAGGTAGCTCAGGCAAGTGGCCCTGTACTCATCCCCTCCTTCCTGTTCCTCATTATAGTCTGGGCACCAAAGTTCCTTGAGGAGATCATCTTGCAGTAATTCTTCCGTCACTTGCTTCTCTCGCTTCTACATCTCTTACCATGTAGCGATCGTGGACTTCAAAGGATATCTCATATTTTGAAGATGTTGAAGGTAACCTTTTCCCCATCAAAGTGCAGTGTGATTTCTCCCTTTTTCACCTTAATGACTGCATCGCTTGTTGCCAGAAAAGGTCTCCCCAAGATGATGGGTACATCCCTGTCTTCTTCCATGTCCAAAACCACAAAATCGGCTGGGTAAACAAAGTTACCAACTTTCACAAGAACATCATGTAAGATTCCCTTTGGGTAAGTCAGAGATCTGTCTGCCAACTGCAAGGTCATGTTAGTAGGGACCAGGAATTTGTCCAGATCAAGGGATTTAAATACAGACGATGGCATGAGATTTATGCTTGCACCGAGATCTAGTAATGCTTTAGAAAATTCTCTGATTCCTACAGTGCAAGGAAGAGTGAAACTACCCGGATCTTTTAGCTTAGGTGGTAATTTTCTCAGGATAGCTGCACTACATTCTTCATTTAGAGTGACAAAAGCAGAGTTATGCATTTGTGGCTTATTCGCACCAAATCCTTCAAGTACTTAAAGTATTTAGGCATTTGTTTAAGTGCATCAACAAGCGGTACATTAATATGTATACTTTCTAAATTCTGAATAAACCTGTTGAGTCCTTCATCCATTTTCGCCTTCTTCCTGTCTTACTTGGATATGGTGGCGTTGGAGCTGGCTGTGGTGGTTCTGAATTGGTCTGGAAATTGAATTCCCTCCATTCCGGGTTTTTCGGTGGGTTGCTCTGTTCAACCATATCATCATTATCAGATATTTGCTCAGAAGAAGTTTCATTTTTACCTGCAGGGTCACTCGCAGGAGTGACTTCTTCACTTGGCTGATTGAGTTGCTTTCCACTTCGGAGAGTGACAGCCTTTGCTTGCTCTTGGTCATTCCCCTTGGGGTTCACGATTGTGTCACTAGGCAGGCTCCCCGATGGTCTTTCAGCATTTTGTTTTGCAATCTGGGCCAACTGATTTTCCAAACTTTTACAAGACACCGCCAAACTCTTGATTGCATTTTGTACAGAAATCCATTCATCTTCCCTTGGTATGTATTGTTGGTTAGAACGTTGCTGATTCTGATAGTTGGGAAGCTGACCATCTTGTCTGTGGAATCTTGGGGGTTGAGCAGGCCTTTGATAATTTCCTTGTTGTAGAGCATTGTTCCAGTTGGTCTGTTGTTGATTTCTCCAATTGTTGAAGTTGTTGAATCCCCCTGCATTGCCCTGTCTGACAAACTGGACAGCTTCCATTTTAGAAGGGCAATCATCCAAACTGTGTCCATCACATAATACACATACTTCTGCCTTGGATTTGGACAGCTCACTTCTGAGCTTAGTCATTTCGTTCATCATAACAGCCATTTGAGCTTGCAGGTGTGTACTGGGATCAAGTTCCATCATCCCTGGCTGTTTTGAAATTGCCCTTGGATCAGATTGCCATCTTGAATGGTTGGTGGTCATATTGTCGAGCAATTGCCTTGCTGCATCAACTGGTTTCATCATAAATACACCACCAGCTGCAGCATCAAGGGAGTCTCTTGTAGTTGGTAGCAGACCATTGTAGAAGATGCTTAGTTGAAGATGCTCTTCTAAACCATGCTGAGGGCATTTTCTGACCATTTCTTTCAATCTTTCCATGCTTCATAAAGCATTTCTGTTCCATGCTGCTTGAAGTTCATTATTGCTGTTCTAAGTTGTGCAGCTTTCGCAGGTGGGAAGAATTTTGTTAGGAAACACTGCCTCAATTCTTCCCAAGTGGAAATGGAGTTGTTGGGTAATGTGTTGAACCATGCTTGGGCTTGATCCTGCAATGTAAAAGGGAATAGTCTCAGTCTAATGTCATCATTAGATAAGCCTTGAATTTTAAAAGTACTGCATAAACGCAGAAAACTTCGGATGTGATCATTAGGATCTTCATGAGATACTCCATGAAATGGGCAGGCTGATTGGGTCCATTGGATCATCTGTGGCTTGAGCTCAAAATTGGTTGCTTCTACATCAGGAACACTAGAGGAGATTGGACTTCTTCTTGCTGTGGAATGAAGAAATCTCTAAGCAGCCTTTCTGGTCGATTCTGTTGATCCCCACCAGGGTTCCTATTGTTCTCCGGATTGCCACCTTGGTTAGCCATTTCAGATGAACCTTCTTGGTTGTCCTGTTGCACCCGGTTCTGCCTTCTTCTTGCCGCTCTGGTTCTACTGATGGTAGCTTCAATTTCTGGGTCAAAAACGGGTTCACTTTGTTGGTGCCTTCTAGTCATACACCAAAGAAAGGAAACTGGAAGCTTAGTGAGATAACCAGAGAAGAATTTTATATATATATACACAAACACAACAAATTTTTGGAGGTTTTACGCCGTCCCCGGCAACGGCGCCACTTTCTGGTGCTTGCCGAGTTCACCAAAAAAAATAAGATAAATATTACTAGCTTGGATTATAATTTTTGTAGATAATGGAAGCTAGGTCGTTCCCACGAGGACAGCTAATTACCAAATTTTTTGTAAGGAAAAACTGTCAGTCAACAAGATGTCACTCAGGAGAATGAAAACAGTCACTTAGGGGAATGGAGGCCAGGGGTGTTCTTCTCCTCTTCCTGCTGTCGTAGTTGTTTTATTAGCACTGTAATGGTTGAGTTCTTGTTCATTCAGCTCACTTATAACTCTAAGTCAGTTCCCATTTTTCCTAGAGTTATCTTTGCAACCTTAACAACCTATTTTCCAATGATTGATTCCAGCTACAAAGTCATTAAGTTCTTAGGCCTTCAAGAATGCTTATGTTAACTAAGTATATTCCTATCTTAGTTAAAACCATAGACTGTTACCTCTATGTCATAAGTTAAAGTTGAAACAATCCAAACCAAGTTTATCCTTCCAGATCTCCCTTAGTTCTAGCATGCATTCAATTTAGTGATCAAGTAAATGAATGTAGAAAAACTTTCAACCATAAAACAAGGAACAAAACCAGTGCTTTGACAACTACAACATCAGTTGAGGAGAATAACCCCTGGAAACTATTTAGCTACTCATACGGATAAATGCCACATCTACTACATCGAAGGACATCATAGAAGTATGCATAATAAATAAAGTTCAAGCTAACAGTCAAGAGATGAGAAGGAAGCTTGTGCAGTTTCGGAGTCACTCCTCGGAGTGAAAGGGTTCACTCGTGGAACTGAAGAAGAAACTGGGTTGCTACTCTTCAACTTGGCTTCCTCACTGAGTTGTTGCTGCTTCTTCTTCTTTCTTGTCTTCTACCTCGAGTTTTTCTGAATGTTTTTGCAACTGAAAAGCTAACCAGAGACTGATGGAGAGATGCCTCTGTGAGAGTGCCGTTCCCCTTCTTTATAGTACTTTGCAACCGGTGTCTTCATCATGAGAACCTCCCCATGCTTGGAGTTGTTTAATCCTTCCAATGTCTTGAGCCTGCAATCCAACTTGGCCGTTCCTTTTCTCTCTTCCAGCAGCAGCCGTTTTGCTCTCATTGATCAGCAGTGGTGGCTGGGATTGCGGCTGAGGGACAAGCATGCCTCAAGGAGGAGGCAAGGTCATTAATGACAAGATGCTTCTTGTCTAAGGCCCTTCTTCTTCGTCACCAAAGCACCCTTGCCTCAGAGATCCATAATTTGCTCCTTTGGCTCCCAATTTTCAGTAATTATTCAGTCCGGTCCTTTCCTAACAATAATATAAAAATGAGCTAAGTAAATTGCACCAATGTTAGGAAATGCCCCCAATTGTTCATCAAATATAAAGTTAAGTCTGATGCTTTTATGTAACAATTTAACCATTATCAAGAAACAAGCCTGCTAACAGAGGGACTGAACATGATTTTTCTGCACTTTTCAGGGATGATTATGTCATGTTTAAATCAGATTTTTGCAAAATCTAAAAGTCCGTTTTATAATCCAAAAAAACCAAACTAAACTAGAGTAAATATAGGAAGACATTCATATAAATAAATTATATAAAAGGATTTGAAAAATCGGAGAACATGGATGTTCAACAGTTGGACTCAAATCTGATTTTTTCAGAAAATATTAAGCAAACATGTCTCCTTTCCAATTACCTGCGATCACTTCCAAACCAATCATAATTTCTTAGATCATTCATTATTTAATTCCATATTCTATGAAAAAGTTTGAGCAATTGAAAATGGCAACGAGTCCAAGAATCAAACATTTAGCTAGCATACTTCTCTATGCCATTGCACATTACCAATTCCCTTAATCAATTAAAATAATATAAGACTAGAAGCATCATCACTCTCATTCATCTTCCCTTTCTAAGGCAGATAACACGTTCATCTAGGGCACTTGATGGAAACAACAACAATTAGGATTTTCAACACTAAAAACAGTCAATCAATTACGGATAACACAATAACAACAACCAGCATCTATCATTCTTTTATCTTTTCGTTTCCTCTGTTTTATTACCTTGGCCATAGGCCTCCCCTCCACCCTTAAAGAATGAAACGTACCTGGTGACCAAAAATCTTGTCTGGACTTCCAAATATCCTAGCCAAGCCGAAGCCGGCAAGCTTCAGCTGTCCGCGAGGTCCAATCAGTAGATTATCTGGTTTTAAATCCCTGCAAAAAATGAAACCTGATTAAAATAAAAAATCTAAGAAGAACCTTGCTGACCCAATATTAGGAATGGACTTCAGAAGAAACTTACAAATGTAGAATTCTTTTCTTATGGCCGGATGCCAGCCCTTTCAAGGTCATCTGAATATATGACCTGATATCAGTTGCCGAAAGCACAATATTACGATCACGAATTACACCCCCTAAATCTTTCTCCATGAACTCAAATACAAGATTCAAACTCCCTTTATGAGGAAAAACATCAATGAGCTCAATTATATTTGAGTCCTTGAGCTCTTTCAACAGATTAATTTCCTTAAGATCTGTGATTTTCAACCCTTCTGTCTGCTTTCCGATCCGAATTTTCTTAATTGCCACTGTCTGCCCTGTCTGCAACGCCAAATATATAATTTCTATTTTTCAGCAATTAATATGATTAAAAACATTTAAAAATGTTCATCCAAAACAAAGAACACCCAAATAATTTTCTATACAAGTCGATTTCTTTCAAGTACATTTACAAACATATTAACAGAATTACATAATTAATTGATTCCTTGGCATATGATTAAATTCTGAACTCTCATTAAATTCATTTGTGAAACAACAAATGCACCACTATCCAGTTTGGGATGCAGAGTTACAAAGCCTCTATCCTTTGGAATTTCAACAAGGACGAGCATCAACATCTTTACTGTCTCAGCCATGTACAGGTGTGTGAAATACTAAGTCACAAATTCACATTTTTATCAAAAAAAAAAAAATTACTACTGTATCTTTAGCTAATGAAATCAATTAACAGGATTTTACACCTTGCAGGTTTGGATAGGGGAAGCAATGTAAAGGTAGAGATGTGAATCAGAAAAGATGACGAAATGCCTATTATGAGTTGAATCACTAACCTTGATTCATTTCCTCAATTTTAAGTACATAAAGTAAACATTGTATGCCTACCAACTAAAGTATAATCATAATTACAATATAATTGCCCTGCTGCAACCTGAGAATGTTAGATTATAGTTATCAGTAGTTCTGGGGAGCTACATCAAAATACCAAATAATAAGATTATTCTATGCATTGAGACAAAATAGTAGATTGAGAGCTTGTGTAGACATAATCTTATTTTGTATCTAATCAAAATACTTCCAAATCCAACACAATTGTACAAGAAACATAAGAAAACAAAAAAAAAAAAATCTTAAACATCAAATTAAAAAGAAAGATGAACATCAAATCAAAATTCAGAAGAGCAGGTTGTACCTTAGTGTCGAATGCTTTGTAAACAACACCATATGTGCCTTCACGAAGGACTTCCTGTTTAAGGTAACGATTAAACATCTTCTTGGTTTCCACCTCCAACATTCTTATTGACAAATGTGCTCATTAACCTGGACGAGTGCATTAACTATTAGTCCAATCAAGGAAGGTTTAGTTCACATCAAAACTCCAAATACTTACTTCTTGAAAAATTAAAATTAAAGAATCATTGTGTCACACGCAAGATATACAACGGATTAATGGGAGCTGAAGTGAAGGAAGCAATGAACATCAATAGAAGTTCATTCAAGTTTCAAAGGTTCAGAAATCTACAGAAATAAATCTCCTAAAACAGCACATCAAACCAGGATTTTTTTTACTTTAACTTTCAGATTTTAGGTCATGTTCAAATCGAGTTTTCTTTCAAACCATAACTCCTTTTACGAGCCGCTAAAATTGAAATAAACCACTTCAAATGTAATATATTCCCATGGAAAGAAACCTCAGAAAAAAAATAAAATAATAGGATTAATTAACCCCTAAACAGAACATCAGAATCTGGATTTTAGACTTTCAATTCAAACTTGTACTGTTCAAATCAAGTTTTCGGACAATCCACAGCTCCGTTTTGAAAATCCGTAAAAACAGGAATAAAGTACACTCAATGAGGAAGATATTCATATAAAAAAAACCTTGAAAAAGTTATTGAACTAAGAGAAAAAGGTCTTGCAACAGAGGACTGCAAATCTGATTTCGGCACTTCCTAAGTATGCATACTCTGCTTAAGCAAGTTTCTTGAGATATACATAGCTTTTCAAGTCATTAAAATTGTGAGAAACTATGATAGGTAAAGAGAGACTTCACAAAAAGAAAACAGAGAAAAGGTTCAGAAATCAACAGAAATAAATCTCCTAAAACAGTACATCAAACCAGATTTTTTTTTACGTTAACTTTCAGATTTTAGGTCATGTTCAAATCGAGTTTTCTTTCAAACCATAACTCCTTACTGGACAGATCATATACCATTGTTCATCACAAGAAAGCAGCATCATAGTTCTTCAGTGTGTGTGTGCATATATCACAGCCAGAGTTCAAGTTTTACATGTCATCCATTCTAAGATTTAACCAATTTAAGAACAAATGGACATCATTGTGGACATCATTTAAGAACAAATGGCCGTCGAAGTTCCTTCCGGACATCTGTGGATAAAAAATTGCACATTGGCTCGTTCTATCAGCCTGGTAATGAGGACCGGAAAAAACCAGGAGTTCCTTCTGTAGTTGGAAGCGCAGATGTCCATCTGCTCTCTGATTGCCTCCACTGTGTCAACTGGTGTGTTGATTGCATAGAGCAATATTGCCGCTTCATAAGTTACCTTTTCCGACGTCGACTAGGTATGAGGTTGGTGCATATGAAGTTGAACCAGAGCTTATATTCTGGTCTTAAATCTGAAGCTGGAAAGTGTTGTAGGTTGCCATTCTTGAATGTCCAGATGACATCCAGTTCCCGGCTCAACATCCCTGATAGCTCTTCTTCGTGGTCAAATTCCATCATCTGGTTCAGTGCTTCCTCATGGGGAAAACCTATCTCTGGCAATTGCAGCAACTCTGTGATTGTTGTCGTACTGATATTGACGGCTCTGCCTCTTAACATCACAGTGTCGCCCTGAGTTTCTCTCATATTGCGGCAAAATTCCCTGACTCTAGTGAGGTTTGGCCTGAGCGGGACATCACAGAGTCTCTCCCAGTGTTGTTCTACAATATAAGATGGCTGATCTGTTGAGAAGGTTTCTGACCTTTCAATGATCATCCGTCGTTCCCAATCTCGTGGTGTGGATTCAACCTCCTCAGAACCTTGTGTTGAGTCCGTTCTTCTGATGCAATTTTGCGGACTTTGCGTGGGGTGCCCCTCTATCTATTTTTGTTTCTGGATTCCGAGAGTGAGACTCTCCTATGTCCTATAGATTGTCCTCTTGTTGCCATTGTAATGCTGTATTTCCGAAGAATTAAGTGCTTTCTGGTTGTAGGGTTTTGGTAATGGTGGCTGTTAGAAAGATGTAGAAGGTTGGAGATGGTTAAGGTTTATTGAATGGGATGTTTATGGAGATATGGGGTGTCAGTTTTCGAGTAAGAATGTTCCAGTTTCCCAGGCACTACTCTAGACAATTCTACCCTCCAATTTCACCCATTATTTTAAATTAATCTTCCCTCCTTCCTGCTTCCCTTTGACCAGAACACTTGGTGACTATTTCAATTGCGATTTTATTCTGATGATTCATCTCAGTCGCGAAAGTGAGTCTATCACTCACCCAAGTGAGATGACAGATCAGTATTTATCGCATTGTGTAGATAATTAAACTTAAACGTTGCTATCCTGACTATATCATAGTTGGCAAGGCATTTCAGGTTAACCATCCACACAAACTTCACCTGAAAATTTCTGATAAGGGACATTCCTCCCTTTCTGATTGCCACTAAACAGATTGATTAATTACCAAAAGATAGTTGAAACAAAACTAAGAAGAACAAAATAACTTACCTTGGGTTCCCTCACAAGCAGCGCATTGATTTAACGTCTCATGCCAAACTGATTGATGCTCCTTACTTAGGTTCCTTCAGTTGCAGCACCTCCTTGTACTGTATCTCAGCCTTCTGATCTGTGCTGTGTGCTTCCCTTCTCTTGGGATTTTCCAGTGTGTCACTAGCAAGAGTGTCAGCAGGTCTGTCTAGTATCTTCCTTGCCGTCTGTGCAACTTGATTTTGCATATCTTTCACAGTTGCACCAAGACTAGCAAGAACATTACCAACCTTGATCCAGTCTTCCTCCTTGACTCTGAATAGTTGATTCTAAAATCCAGGTGGTTGAGCTGACCTCTGGTAGTTCGACTGCTGATTAGTCCAGTTGTTGTTCTGTAGTGGCCTCCAATTGCTGTAATTGTTGAAGCCTCCTCTGTCATTTCCTTGCCTCACGAACTGAACTTCTTCCACTGTGGCTTGATAGGTAGAGCGGGGTGAAATACTGTGCAGACTTCACATACATCAACTTTTGGTTTGTATGTCAGCTCTTATCTTTGATATCTCACTAGAGATGGCTGTCATCTATGCTTGCAAGTGAGTTGTAGCATCTAGCTCCAACAGTCCTACCTTCTTAGCTATAGCTCTAGGCTCCTTCTCCATCTGAAATGGTTAGCACACATATTCTTTAGTAGCTGGATTACTTCTTCTACAGGTTTTATCATGAATGCTCCTCCAGATGATGAATCAAGAGATTCTCTAGAGGCTTGCCACAATCCATTGTAGAAAATGCACAACTGCATTAGCTTTTCTACACCATGTTGAGGGCACTTCCTCATCAGATCCTTAAATTTTTCCCAGGCCTCATAAAGAGTCTCAGTCCCATGCTGCTGAAAAGTCATGATGGCTGATCTTAAAGCAGCAGCCTCATAAAGAATTCGTGAGGAATGCCTGTCTGAGTCCGTTCCAGGAGTTGATTGAATTGTTAGGCATGGTGTCTAACCATTTTGCTGCTGAATCCTACAATGTGAATGGAAATAGTCTCAAGTAAATCTCATCTTTGGACAAACCTTAGATCTTGAAGGTATTGCATAGTCTCCGAAATTTCCTAATGTGCTCATTTGGATCTTCACTGGGTGGTCCATAGAAAGGACATGCAACTTACACCCATTGAATCATTTGATTTTTGAGCTCAAAGTTCTCTGCTATAACATCATTGTACACCAATGGAGTTTGAATTTCCTCCTCTTGGGGTACAAAATAATCTCTTAGCAGTCTGGGTTGAGCTGGTTGTAGCTCTCTTTCTTGAGGTCAATCGGCTGCTGCTACTTCTGTCATCTACTTCTGGTTCTTCAGAACGTGAGCAGCAGCTTCTCTGTTTCACAAGGATTTAGATCTCCTTGCTGTGATTTCAATTTATGGATCAAAACTTAGCTTGCCTGATGGATTACTTCTAGTTATAAACCAGTAATCAAAACATGAAAAATAACAATAGCAAGATTTGTGAATTGAGTGAGTGAATTTGATTAAAAACATAAACTAAAAGAAAACAGAAATAGAATACAAAAATCAGATTTCAAGGATTTTTAACGCCATCCCCAGCAACGGTGCCACTTTTGGTAAGGGGTTTGTCGTTGAACCGCTTCCCAGAAAGAACATTTATAAACCTACTTAAAACTAGTAACTAGTGGTAAGCAAGGTCGTTCCGCATAGACGGCAGTCAACCGTTCAAAATCTTATTAAATTGCAGAAAGGAAACAAAATGAGTTGAACAGATTGTCACATGGGAGAGTGAGAATAGTCACTTGGTAGAGTGAAAAACCAAAAGGGTCGATCATCTTCCTACCTTTATGATCCAGTTTTGATTCAAGTATTCCTATAGTGTATGATTAGCTGTTCGATCAGGCACTTATATATCTTTATAAATCCTTCCAGACAGAATAAAGAGTCGTAGATTATCTAAATCACCTACCTTCCAGTCAGAGTAATTCATTAATCTAAGCCATTGAGCCGTTGATGTCTGGAACTGCATGGTAGATTTCCTCCATTGTCATAGACTAGATTAAGCTGTTCTAAGGTTATGCTCCCCGTTCCAGATCTTCATAACCATGTATTCACATTTAATTAAGTGGCTAAGTTAATTAAAAGGTTAAGTAAATCACTTACATAGGCACAACACTTCATCAAGGAAACTGAATCAAAACCTTCACATAAAGATAGTAGGGATTGAACCCTTAACTGAGTTAGCTACTCATGCTTATTGAGTTAAACATGAGAGCAACAGAGTACAAAAGATAATACACGAATCTAAATCAAACGGTTAGAGGAAAGAAAGGAAAGATGGTAGCAGGGACAGTTTCTGTCTGCTTACTATGGCGAGTGGCATTCGCCACTTGACAAAGTGACAGTCTGCCTCTTTGTTCCTGCTACTATCCTGTTTCTAACCTATTAACTAATTACCTAACTAATGTCTTTGTAACTAAATCTAACTACCCAATTTGTTGTTTTTCTAACTGCTATTGGCTGACTATTTATAGAGATTTGGAGAGTCTTCGATTGGTGGAGTTTTGGCCTTCTTTGCAGTAGGGCAGAGGAGACAGCAAGTTGCAGCAGCCAAAGGTAATTGTTTATTCAACAACTTGCCCAATTGTCAAGTTGCTGCCTTCTCTGGTTAACTCCCTTCTTCAGCCGCGATCTGCCACCTTATACTCATCATTGCTGCTTCTCCTTAGTCTTCTTCTCTGGTGCCTTCTCACCATTTGCAGCCACAAACCTCCATTTCTTCATTCTTTCTTCCCCACAGCTCAATTTGCAGTAGTCAGTAAGCAGCAGCATCAGCAGCATGCTTCCTTCCATCATTGTGTCTCCAGCCTCCAATTTATCCTGAATCTTCTGCCCTTTTCTTCCTTGTTTCCTAGGTCACTTGCTATACCATTGCTCATCCTTCTATAGCAGCCAATTCATCAACTCAACAGTAGCATCAGTTGATAAGTGCAAAGTTGCAGCTGCTGTTTATCACATATTCTCCCTCTTTCTCTTCTTCCACTTGCAACAATAACAACTTGCAGTGATGGAAAAACAATTTCGTTCCTTGGGCACCAAGATTTCAGCTCGTGGCTCCTCTTTGATTGACAGCAGCAACAGCTATTGTAGCAGCAATCTGACAGCAGCGCTGCTACCCTTCTTCATCTTAATTGAGTGTGTTGCTATAGAATCTTCCAAGTTGTGATTATCTGCTGCCATTCTTCCTTCTTCAGCAAGGATTTCTCCACTTGCTCTAGCTCTGATCGACCTTCCAACAGCCCGATTTTCAACAGCTTCCATTCCAACCCTTTCTGATGGCTTTTTTTGCAATTCAGCCCTCTTTTATGCTGATTTTCTACATAGGCCCTCTGAGATACCTGAACTGTAAAATTACCCCAAAAGAGTAAGAAATGCCTGCTAAAAGGGTGTATATTCTTTTGTCATCACTTCCCTTGTAAACAACAAAATACATGGGATATGGTGAAAAATCAATACATGTTATCTAACTAATTTAGTAAAGAATCGAGTCACCGCCCGTTAGTCCCATTTTGTACATTGAACTTCTTTTCACCAATAGTCAACAACACGAACATCTCCACCTCACTTTTCCTTTTTGATTTCTATGAAAATCCTCCCAACCTTTATATTTCTCCCTTAAAAAGATTTTTGTATTCCTACTCTTCCATAAGTAATAAATTCCAGCACTAATAATAGCAAATGGTACCGTTCTTTTCTCACATGATCTTTTCAAAATGTTCCTCAATTTACTCCAATTTTTAATGGTATTCAGACTGCATTTAAGTTGTAAATGATGTAGCAAGGTTGTTTAAAGAGCTTGAGTAGATTAACACTCCCTATACAAATTTATAGTTGTTTCTTGTTGGCCATTACACATCACATAACTCAAGTAACTAATCTAGTAATTTGCCACACGGTCCGTTGTTTTGAGGCCTTTCATTCCACATGAGCCGACTTATAAAGTAGTGTTCTGACACATTCATTCTACTTCACATGATTTCTGCTTCATTTTTTCTGAGTCACTCATTCGTGCCAGATATAGCCAGAGTGAATGTCGTACATGCAAGTCTGAGATGCCAACCATCAATCACCTTGGAATCCATTCATCTTCTTTTTATTTAGGGACTATTTGGTTGTCATGGAAAGTGCTTAAGTATTCTTTTCTTTATTTTTAAAATCTCAAGTTTGGAGGCAAAAAGGAGATATTGACATATAACTGAGACATAGTGTCGCAATAGATGAATAATTCGGATAGAAGAGTGAAGAAACCAATCAAATAAGAACGATAAAATCTTATAGACATGGGGAAAGTGAACGATGGTAAGTGTAATGATAGAACTGTTCGTGAGAGAACTGCATCAACATGTTTCGTACATATCCCCCCAAAGAAAAAGAAAAGAAAAAGTAGGTTTAGTCAACCACGTGACTTGTCCATGGGCCTAACCAAAGTCATTTAAAAGCCGATTGGATATTGACTCTTTTACATATATATATACTAGTGATGTCTGGTCGCGCAATGCGCGACCCTGCCCCAGTCTATCTGTAGATCTTAGAAATGTTTATATTTGCAAAAAATAAAATTTTGTATTTGGAGCGATATATTTTAGAAATGTTTGAAGGATTTAGAAATGTTTTATAAGTGTGATCATAGAAATATTTGTATTTCGCAAAAAAAAAAAAAATTGTATTTCGCCATGTATGTTTTAGAATTGTTTTATAAGTGTTACTTATTAAATATAAATAGCTTAATCGAATATATGTGTTGAAGTAAATGTTAGATAAAATATAAAAGTATCCTAATAAATTTAAATATTAGTGAGATGATTTATTGATGTTCTCCATTGGTCGTGCCAAATCAATACTTAGTTTTGGAGATTTTTAATAGCTTTGTAATAAGCTTCATCCGAAGGGTATACGCTTAAAACAAAATTGACACTTTGTAACAAAAAACCTAATTGATCAATTCAATTTAAAAAACCACTCTAGTTGAATGAAACATAAAGAAAAATTTTTTTAAAAAAAACGTGTCACGTAAAGTGCAAAGGGAGATTTAGTAATTTAGTTATGGTTAGACAAAAGGACAATTTAGTATTTTCTACATGCCACGTGGCAATCATATGAGGTGTTTGAAAGGGAGGTTTTTGTTTCTAATATAGTAGGATATATATATACATATACTTAATAAGTCTATTTTGAGTGGCACAAGGATTAATAGTTAATGATTAGCAATTATGTTAAAAATTTTATTTTACACCTAATTAATAGGACTAGCTACTTAACTCAAAAATCATTTTCCCAAAATCTATGTCCATCCTTTAATAATACCTCAAACAAAGTGGTTGTACACATTGTGATTCTACAGGTACCATTACAAAAACAAGAGTAATTTGGGCAAAATAAAAAAAATTATGTATTAGAACATAAAATGGGTTTATACTGTGGCATAACCCAAAATAGAAAGTTGACTTATATTATGAAAAAGGAGATAGTAGTACTCATGAAAGTGGACTTATATTTGGCATAATTACAACCACCGGTTGGGTATGCACAGATTGGTTCCAACTGGCCAAACCGGTCAATCTAGACCGTGATTTGGTTTTTTGATCGGTTTCAAAGTTGGTCTATCACCAATAAGAATTTTATATTATCTATGAAAAAAAAATAATGATAATAATCGATATCGAATTTTGAAATTTTTACTACCACATCAAATTTTGGACTTTACTTTAGTACAAATCTCATAGCTCAATTTTGAATATTTTTGTTTTGGGATAGAGGTATGTAATATTAAAAATATTTTTTTTGCCTTTGGTTGTAATTATGCCAAACTTGAATGACTGTAAGTGAGATTTGTCCATATATAAAGTGACAGACGTTCTCCTTACAACTACCACGCAGTTAACGAAATTCGCATTGTAACGCAACTGAAAAGATTTCTTAATTACAAAGCAAAAATTTAACTGTGACAAAACCAAGAGAATCATTATATCAACCCCCAAAAAAAGAATTAGGTGAAAGAATAAGGAATAGGGGCATCACGATGAAGACTAACGGCTCTGCGTTTCGCTTTAGTGTTGTTCTTCTTGCCCTTTTTCTGTGTTGGGAATCTGGGATGGTGTGTTCTTTGTCCGTGAAGGGATTAATCAGGATGAGGGATGGCGGTGTTCTGGGTGGGATTGGTCATTACGGAGGAACCCAGAACAATGGAGAAATCGAAAGCCTCGGGCGCTTCGCGGTTCAAGAACACAACAAGAATGAGGTCTTAAATCTCTCCTTTTTCCTACGCAATCTTCTGTTTATATTTCTAGTTTTTTTTTTTTTTTTATTTTGTGACCCTGTTAACATTGTTTTATTCTTTTGGTAGAAAACCCATTTAATTTCTTGAAAGTGAGGATAATTTCAGGAAGGAAGATTTTGTTAATTCTTTTGTATAAGAAGACTTGTTAGTTATTTGTTCAAGCAATTGGAAAGGGTTTAATTTTAGCTCCCCCTCCTTCCTTGGTTGATTTGAAGAGTTTCGTCCAGTATTAAGAGCATCTCTAAAAACAGGAGTTAACTCGTCATCTTCTTGCATGCGATTCTAGTAGGTTTTGATTAATGAAATCTATCTCAGTTTCTATCAGAAGTCATCATCAAAGAAGCCAATCTTGTCTGCATTATGATATATCTTTAACATGCTTTTATGAGCATTAGTAGTGGAGATTTCTTACGTGATAAGTACATAGCTCCATGTATGAGGTTGACTATGTCATGCTGGTAAATATTGTGCTGGAACTAGGGAGCTATATGCCCAAATTTTGAGTTGTTTCTGTTTTAAAAGACTGCTTTGGAGAACATTTAATGGAATATAGGTAGTAGTAGTAATTTAAAGGCCAGAGGAATCAGATGTTGTTTCTATTTTACTAGACTGCTTTTGAGTACATTTAATAGAAAGTAGGTAGTAATTTAAATCCTAGAGTAATTCAGAACTCATTTTTATCCCTCTCAAGTAGCTTCTTGATTTTATTATAGATTCTTAATGTTTTAACTATTTTGCCTACTCTGCTTTCAGAATGCACTTCTTGAATTCGGGAGAGTAATTAAGGCTAAAGAACAGGTAGTTTCTGGTATGTTGTATCATCTGACTCTTGAGGTAGTGGATGCTGGGAAGAAGAAAATCTATGAAGCTAAAGTTTGGGTGAAGCCCTGGATAAACTTCAAAAAGCTGGAGGAATTCAAGCATATCAGTTATGTCTCTCCTCTTGCTTCATCTGTAAATTGAAAGGGGTAAGATTCATTTGAACTTCTTAATATCGTATTGAAGCTGCTGCTGTTAAAAGTTTTCCCTGTCTTTACTCTCTTCTTGTAGTTTATTTTCTGTACTTGTACCTTTGTATTTGGAGGACTATGTTTTTCTCTAGTGTTTGTGTGAGAGGTGTGGAGGAACAGGGGGAAGGAGAGAGCATTATCCACGAAACATTAGAATAATTATAAAAAAAAAAAAAAAGGGAAAGGAATTGGAGAAGTTTGAAGGGAGGGGATGTCAAAAGTTGTCTTTACAGTGTTTTATAGATTATTGGCTCACTAATTTTATGTACTGCAAAAGATAATAACTCATATTGTTTGATTCAGATTAGATAACTTTTGGTCCATATATATAGATATGTCTAGAATGATTGTGATCAAGCTCACCCCTTGGTATTACTGTTTCTCTGATTAAAGTTGATTTTATGACTAGAAAAAAGAATATAGTTTTTGAGTCATTCTGTGCTACAACCTTTTACTGGCGTAATTGGATAACAGAGGTGTTGATTCGCTTCAGAGCGCATTCATCTAATGTCACATCCACTGCAGCACTTATGAGCTTGTTGTGCCTTGTTCTTGATTTGTTGTTTGTTTTTGTTGTGTTGCTCATCCACGATTTTGCCAAGTGAAAGAAATGTTGCTAGCACTCTTGTCAGTGGAATAATGAGTCTGGTCAAATGTTGGTTACTCCAAAAAGGTATCCTGTGCCAAATTAATACATTTCTCTGTTGTAAAAGAGGCTTAACCTGCAAAGTTGTCTTGCCCGAGTTTCTTTTTCTATGTGATAATGCATTTTTAGTAACCTATTGAGTCGATAGTCATATCATCTTTGTTTTGATTTGTATATGGTTGGATCTGTATATGTTTTTGTTGGTTCTGTCCCAGAAATCTGGACTTAACGCAAGTTCTTGTGTAAGCATTACATTTCTAAAGTTATGAATCATTAATTTTAATTAGAGTATATCAGTTTGTTGATCATTAGCTGTCCAGTATCTAATTATCATTTACAAATCTTATTAATCAACTTGCCACACCTCATCCATATTGTTCAAGCGAACATCTATTGAATTGAGTACAATTGAATTATCTTGGGGATGTGGCCTTGAGTCGGACCTTTGCTCTTGTTTCAACATTCCGTAAATTGTCCTTCGATTTGAAGAATGACATAATGTGGAATCTCTTTTGCAAAATTAAAGGTTTTGCTTGTTTTCATCTGAATGCAGATCACCAAAAACACTAAGGTCAAGACATAGCAAGGAGGAGGAGAGTTGAGGGGAGCACAACTTTATCTACTTTTTGAAAGCATTTGTTCTTCTTCTTCTTTACCGAGGTGGTGAACTTGCTAGAGCTCAGATGTATAGAATAATGGGAGCTCATTATTGTGCATAACGAAACATTAAGTGTGGCTTACTTATCGGGATACTTGCACCTTTTTAAAGAATACGTATCTTTAATCTTTATCGTGGTATATAATTGATCTGTGTGGGTTCCATCTCAACATTTTCATGTTTCTAGCAACTCTAACATGGCAGTTATGGATATCTTTGTACTTCGTTACCTTTGCTCTGTTTAGTATTCCATTCAGCCCTTCACGTAATAATTGAAAGAATTAAACATGCTTGATTGATTATTATCAGCCTGATGTTTTGTATTATATAGAGTTTGTGATATATGATAAGTACAATATAAATAAGTCTCTTGAAGAGATAAATACACAAATATTCTCAAAATAATTATCTCTAAACTAACTTGATAAATACAAGTAGATTATCTCCAATATTTCCTCTCAATCAGAACATGGAGATTTCTGCACGTGAAGATTGCTGACTAAAGTATTAGACCGATGTGAAGCCAGACCCTTGGTAAAAACATCAGCTGTCTGTTGAAGAGTAGGAATGAACCGAACATGAAGAAAAACTGCTGCCACCCTTGTACAAAATGTATGTCAATTTTAAGATGTTTGATACGAGAGTGATACAATGGACTGACAGTAAAATAAATAGCACTGATGTTATCACATAGAAGTAAAGGTGGATCATGTAGCACAACATGTAGGTCCTTCAGTAAATTTTGAATCCAGAGCAATTCAGCAACTGTATGAGCAAGAGCCTGAATTCTGCTTCTGTACTTGATCTAGACACAGTTGGTTACTTCAAGAAATCAAATTATTGCCATAAAAGATAGCATAACCAGATGTGGATCGTCGGGTGTCAGGGCAGCCAGCCTAATTGACATCAGAGTAAGCAGTGAGAGTGCCAAATGAGGAGGGTGACAGCATCAAACTATGATTTATAGTGCCAACAATGTGTCGTAAAATTCTCTTGACTAATGAAAGGTGAGAAGATCTGGGAGCATGTATAAATTGGTAGACTATACTGACAGCAAAGAAAATATCGGGTCTAGTAATGGTGAGATATTAAAGTGCACCAACTAGACTACGATACTCAGTGGGATCTGATAAGAGATCACCATCAGTAGACATAGGTTTGACACCAGTAAAGGGAGTACTCACAGGTTTACAATTCAATAGAGATGCCTGAGATAAAAGATCACGAGCATATTTGATCTGAGTGACGGAGAGACCCGTTGATGTGGAAGTAACCTGAATTCGAAAGAAATAATTAATGCACCAAGATTATTCATTGAGAATTGAGTGCAGAGATGCGAAATAAAGATGTCGAGAAGAGATGTATCCTAATTAGTTAAAATAATATTATCGACATAGAAGGTGAGAATGAGATAGGAATTATTTCGATGATAAATGAACATTAAGGTACCCGCTCGACTATTATGAAAACCATAACTCAGTAAAAATGAGCTAAACAGAGGAAACCAAGCTTTTGGAACTTGTTCACAAACATGGTTAGGGAAATTTGGATGAACAAACCCTTGCAGTTGAGACATATAAACGTCATCAGTGAGAAGACCATGTAGGAATGCATTTTAACGTCAAGTTGACGTAAGGACCATCCCCAGGAGAGGGCAATGGAAAGAACCAGACGAATGGTAGGAGACCGAACAACGGGACTGAAGGTTTCATCAAAATCAATACCATGTTGCTGGTTATAACTCTTTGCGACAAGTCGAGTTTTACCGCACTCAAGAGAGCTATCAGCTTTTTGTTTGACACGATATACCCACTTACTACCAATAACATGCATGTGTGGGTGAAAAGGAACAAGGGTCCAAGTTTGATTAGAAAGAAGGGCATTAAACTCATCAGTCATGGCAGCACGCCAAAGGGGTTCTTTAGAAGCAGCAGTGTATGAGGTTTGCTCGGATGGTAAGGGCGAAGAAGAAAGGGTAGTGAGGGCATATTTAGGATTAGTTTTTCGAATGCCGGCTTTGGATCGAGTGAGCATAAGATGCGAAGAAGAAGGGATTGAATCTGGAGAAGGGTTTAAGGAGGACGAAGATGATGTAGATGAGAGAGAGGAAGTAGTAGTAGGATTAGAAGTATCAGAAGGAGGAGAGGAGGTATGATTTGAGGAACATAGACTAATTTCTAAGGAAGGAGCAGGAAAAAGAGGATGACGAGACAAAGAAGGCTGATGTGAAGATGTAGTAGATGGAAGAGGAGATTGAAATGGAAATACGTTTTCAACAAAACGTACACTACGACTTATATAAACTCACCGAGTTAAAAGATGAAGGCAACGATAACCTTTTTGTTCAGAGCTATAACCAAGGAAGGCGTATGGAGCTGAAGGGGAGCTTAATTTGTGAGGTCTATAAGCAGATTAGGATAACACAAGCAGCCAAAAGGACGGAGGATAGTATAATCAGGAGGACTATGAAACAAGATTTCAAATGGAGATTTGTGATGAAGAACAGCAGTAGGAAGTCTGTTGATTAAAAACACAACAGTTGAAAAAGCCTCGACCCAAAGAGAATGAGAAACATGGGTATGATAAAGCATTGTACGAGCAACATCCAAAAGATGACGATGTTTGCATTCAGAGAGGCCATTTTGCTGCGGCGTGGGAGGACATGTGAATTGATGATGAATGCCATTTTTATTAAGGAATTGAATGAAACAAGAATTAAGATATTCCCCACCGCCATCAGTTTGGAAAGTTTTAATGTGAGAAGAAAATTGTGTTTCAACATGGACTTTAATGTTTTAAAACATTCAAAAACTTCACGCTTGAAACGTAAAGGATAAAACCAGAAAATTCTAGAATCATCATCCACAAAAATAACAGTAATAATAATAGCCACTAACTGAAGAAATAGGAGAGGTCCAAACATCGGAATGGATTAAATCAAACACCTTGGATGAAAGAGAAAAGGTAAATTAGAATGTTTAGAAACTAGACAAGAATTACAAGGAAGATCAAGATCATCCTTTTTATTAAAAGAAATAAAATTTTGACGAAGCAGAGAATGAAACACATCACGCCTTAGATGTCCAAGCCGAGTGTGCCACGGTGATGTTGATGAAGAGAGAAAGACCGGAGGGAATGAAGACCCAGGAGCTGAAGATCGGGAGGTGAATGACAAAAGAACAAGTGGATAGATCAGGCTATTACTGGGGCATTTGAGAAGAACTCTCCCCGTCACCAAATCCTTAACAAGAAAACCCCAATGATGAAGTTCAATAAAGCAGTTATTATCATGAGTGAATTTCTTAACGGATAATAAATTAGCAGATAGATAAGGAGAGTGAAGAACCGAATTTAACTGAAAGGTTTTATGGGGAGTTAAAAAGGATGAACAACCAGAACTATAGACTGGAATAGTAGAACCATTACCTAAAGAAATGGAAGCATGAGAAGGAGTGACAAAAGAAGTAAGCTGACCTTGATCATTAGTCATATGAGAACCAACACCACTGTCCATATACTAGGTTTTGTCATTGGAATCATTAAGAGAAAGATAGGCAAAGGAGCTGCCAACATCCAAAGCAGCATAGGCATGATTGAGACGGTCGGGACAATTTAATACGGGATGGCCTGAGGTGTTACAAATCTGACACTTGACATTAGGGTGAGTAGGGTTTGGAGATGCAAATGAGGGCGATTCGAGTGAGAAGAAACAAACTGCTGAAAAGGAGTAGGACCCAAAAGGCCTCGTGTAGTTGCGGGACCATTACCACGTCCCATAGTGTGCCAACTAGCACGACCGCAACCACCGCGACCGCGATTTTGCCAACGTCCACCAAAACCAAGACCATGAACAGAGAGACTACCGCAAAGAGAAGGCAAGTAGTCCTTAGTAGCAACAAGAGCCGTGGAAGATTGAGAAGAAATAGGAATGCTACAAAGGTGCTCAATACGTGATTCTTGGGTGAAGGTTTTTGATTAGAAGCCATGATGATGAAAGCTTCATAGGAGGTTGGAAGACCTTGAAGGACCAAAAGGACCAATTTAGGATCAAAAATAGAATGACCAATGGTCATAAGAGAATCAAATTTCTTGAATCTTGGTCATGTAACTATCAATGCACAAATCACCCTTTTTGAGAGTTTGAAGTTGGAGTTTAAGCTGCAATTCACGAGCAGTGGTTTGTTGAAGAAAGTGAGATTTTAAGGTGGACCAAGCCTCAGCAGCAGAAGAAGCATCATACAGAAGTGGTAAAAGACCTGTATTAATAGTAGCGTTGATCCAAGTAGGGATCAAACGATCAAGACGATGCCAAGTGAGATAGGCACGGTTGGGAATTGGCTTATCAGAAGAATCGGAGATGGAACTAGAGGGAACAGGAATGGAATAATCAAGATGGTGATGCAAATCATAGATTTCAAGGACGACAACAAAGAGATGGCTCCACTTCATATAGTTAGATTGATCTAAAGGAACAAGATCCTTGATGTGAACACCAAAAGGATTGTTGGGAGGAGAAAGAGAAGCGGAAGCAGCCATTACTGCTGATACCATGAAAGAATTAAACAGGCTTGATTGATTATTATCAGCCTGATGTTTTGTATTATACTAGAGGAAGGGACTGCATGTTGTGCAGCCAAAGCGGGGGTGATAGCCCAGTATTTTTCTCATAAGTTATTGTTAAGATAATAAGATACAATAGTTCGTAGAAACTACAATTCTGCAGCTACAATAACAATATTTGTTCATTCATTGCCTGGTATAGATAGGCTTCTCCTTTGTTTCAGTTTATTGAAATCAATTGAGCTTGACTTTAACCAGGTTCTCCCTTAATCTTCCATTCATCTAATTTTGTAAAATTCAACACCATTAGAAGCTGGAGTACTCCTAGTAATCTTTCCCATGTCTTGTCAGCCCCTTTGATTATAATCACAGCAAAATTTCAATAGCCGACACAATTGAACCCTTGACTATGTCAAGTCCTACCAGAATACTGGCTTCAATGGGGTAAATATAATTTGCTTGCGGTGTAGTGGTAATCCTATCAATACCTTCCCAATCCGAGGTCTGAAACCAATAAAACTCAGCATCAAACTAAAACCATCACTGGCACTCATAACCTGAACAATGGTGGAGTTTGAGCTGAAATATATGCTGTCATGGGAATATCGCATATCCATGGATGCAAGTAAACAGAATCTTTTGTAACATTGCAAATCAAATGGGAAGAAGAACACTGTATTATGGATACTCTCCACATATTCTCTGCAATTCTTGGTCAGTTATTCTAGGCTAATAACGGGGAAGCAACTGATCCGTCAACTGGAGGCCTTCCAACTCGTAACTGTGAGGAGACTATGCTGATATTTGTCTCCAGTCCAGCAACTATAATGGACTTGCGGTCTGGGCAAGAGGTGTAGAGGTTTAGACCCCTGTGGAACGGAAGGAATGTTCTTGCCCAATTACTTTTCTTCAGCAACTGCTCCAGGCAAAAGATTTTCATTCTCTGCAATAGCTAGAATCGATATTGTTAAATTTGTCGCAAGTAATGATCCGTTCATATCATTAATCTCTGTATCCTCATTTGATTTGGCTTTGCATCATGTGATGCCCCAAATCATGACTGGGAATTGCGCCTACTTTCGTTTGCCCAACGGAAAGAATCACATCATCACTCCGAGATGAGAGCTGGTTAGCGTTCTCTGTATCACCACAACATTCGACAGGGTTTATCTTTTCAGTGGTCCCAACATTTGATTGATTGCGTGCTGAAGTCAACTAATTTTCGCCAACAGAATTAGCAGAAGTACCTCTGAAATCATTATTGTTTTCTAGGGTAGAATTCTGCATTAGTAATTAGAGTCAACTTCAGTTAATCAATTCACAGAAAAATAGAAAGAAGCAATAGAATTTGCTAGGTCAAAATAAAAGATGACATCAAGGTAATATTCAAACAAGTCTGCAGGGAACAAAATAAAGGTTATGAAATAGAAGTGAAGAATTAGAGCCGAAGTTGTTTGACAGCAAGATGTGTGCTTTATTTGGAGTTTACAGAGCAAAGTCCGTGATACCGTCCGTAGCTAATACAGAATAAAAGTGGGTTGGATATGCAAAGAGGAGTACAAGTATATCAAATGCTCTGTTGAATAAATTTCTATGATATTATTAAATTATGTTTATCCTTCACAAATCATTATTATGTAATGTAAGTCAAACATGGAACCCGCTTTCGATGACAAAAGAAAAGATCAAGCAATAAAAAAGAATGTAAGTTAATCTGTTTAATTTGGAGCAGATAAAAATATTAATCAGGTAGAAGATGCTAGTTGATCTACACTGATTTTGAAAACTTTCAAGCTGTATCAAGCCAACAGCAACTCATTGGCATTTGAAAGTTCAATAAAAAGCTTTACGCCATGGAGAAAGACATGGCAGTCATACAGATACGTTGTGAAAGCACAAAAGTTCCATCGATACCTAAAGATATCGAAGCAACATAGTGGGAAAATTGGTTGTAGGAGGGTCCGTTTGGTTAAAAACTGGTGCCAAAGCTAACTAAAGAAATCCACATTTTTTCCACACATCTTTAATTCCATTCAATTGGCATCGTTTAAGTTTCTAGGTATTCCGCATATTGAACTCGTTGATCCAGTGAAGTTCAAAACATGCCAATTATTGAATGAGTTCATTGATTGAGTTCTTTAAGAACAAGATTCAGAAGCAAGATTCGAACACTTAATATGACCTTTGCTTTTTTGTAGTAACAATGTATATCTTTGATATATTCTACAACCAGTAAGGTGCTTTACTTATCAGGGGCATCTATGTCCTGAAGTTGTTCCTCATCTACAACTTCCATCTCAAATTCAGTATCCTATATTTTAAGTGCAAGATAAGTAAAATCCAATCAAAATTACACCAATTTGTAAGTTGTTGGTAGCAGCCATGAGTGTCAAAATTAGGAATCGAATTTGGCTGACTAAAAGAGCCAGAAATTTTCAAATCATCGAAAAAAGTTCCAAGTTGTTTCAATCAATTTTCACTTTTTCTAGGTTGTTTCAATTAATTTTCACTTTTTCTAGGTTCATCATTGACTACTGCTGTCACTAAAGTAGCTTTGGTGCGAAGAATTACCTAAATGTTTTCTTCTTTACTGAATTTAAGTACAAGACATCAGAAAGAGCCTCTGTCTTTAGCTCTATGAATTACTTTCAAAAGCTGCATTGTTAAAGCAACTGCATTCTAAGACCATGGAATCAAGCATATCGGCCGGAGAAAAACAACTAATTGATTTAAATTTTAAAGCAAAACTACGTAATATTCATATATACATACATCAGATACTTTCCAGCATCAATTCAGGACAAGTTTGAGGTTTGCTAAGATAACCAGCTGCATCATTCCTTAACAAATAATTCCCTTTTAAATTTCTGCATAAATTTTGCTTCTTATATTTGGCCAAAAATGTTCACTCATCAAAAGCAAGGAAGAAGTTAAACAGAACACTTTACCGGTGCATAGTTAGTTATGGTATTAATGCCTCCAACTCCTCCACATGATGCACGATGAACTTCATCCTCTACATACAGATTCAATGGTGCAATGCCCTCCTGTATAAAGAAACACAGTTTTTGTGTTTAATTTACAAAGAAACTTAAGTGAATATCATAATTGTACTCTTAAAAGCAAAAAATCGAACACTTTACATGCACATATGAGGCACCATATCTAGGAGCAGAGATGATCTTTCATCGTACCCACAAAAGAAACAACATTCTGTTGGTGTTCGATTTATGATGGACTAGTATAGGGGAAATTAACAAACCAACTAATAGATAAACAACCATAACTCTGGAAGTGAATAGAAGGTGGCTGAACAATTATCAAACCTAATTATTTTGTAAAGCATAAAAGGGGTTTTTCAGAGTATCTTTCTGCGGAAGCAATTTTCTTCTTTCATTAATTGATAATAATTATCCCTAATCCTGTCCTATATATATACAGAATTAATGTGTCTTAACCGCCTCTACTATTTACAAAGAAAGTCCCTGGATTTAACTCTAATGTCTAGTATATGCAAAGCTAACTTTTTATCTAAACCTGTTGACTGTACATATATACAGTATATACTGAGCCAAGCTGTGATCAATCCAGCTCTTTCGCTGATTTTGTTGATGCAACACATGGAATATCTTCACCCCCCCCCCCCACAAGCTGGACGTGCAAGGAAATCCTTGAAGCCAAGCTTGGACAACAAGTGCTGCATTTGAGGAAAAGCTAAGGACTTCGTAAAGAGATCAGCAAGCTGATCATATGTGGAAACATGTAAAGGAACTAGAAAGCCACGGTTGTACTAAGCTTGAACAAAATGATAGTCTACTTCAAGGTGTTTCGTACGCTCGTGGAAAATTGGGTTTTCAACAATGTAGATGGCAGATTGATTATCACAGAATAGTGGAATAGGCAAAGCAACAGGTAGATGAAGATCATGCATCAGATAAGAAATCCAAAGAAGCTCTCTTGAAGTAACTCAGGCTGCGGTATTGTGCTTCTGAGGATGAACAAGAAATTGTGGGTTGCTGTTTTGCTTTCCAAGAGATAAGTGAAGGGCCAAGAAAGACACAGAAACCAGAAACTGATTTCCTGCCGACAGGATCAGTCCCATAGTCTATCTGCATAAGCTTCTAACTTGAAGTCATTAGTTGAGGAATAAAAGATGCCATGAGATGGAGTACCTTTTAGGTCCTTCAAAACATGTAACAATGCATCCCAGTGATCTGAGCAAGGAGCCTGTACATGTATGCTCAGTTGCTGGACAGAGAACGTGATATCTGGTCTGGTGAAGCCTAGATACAACAGCTGCCCTACAAGCTTTTTGTATTGAGAGGCATTTTCCAAAGGAGCACCTGGTTGATCAATAAACTGGCGGCCTTTGAGGAGTGGTGTAGTGATAGCTTTTCAACCAAGGAGACCAGTATCTTTCAAAATATCAAGAACATACTTCCTTTGATTGAGATATATGCCATCTGTGGACCTTGCAATCTCAATACCAAGAAAAAATTTTGCATATCCAAGGTCCATACTAGTAAAAGCTTGATGTAAGAACTCTTTGATCTTCAAAATTTAAGACTCATCTGAAGCAGTGATGAGTATGTCATCTACAGAAACAATCAGTACCAGAAAAATCTCACCTGAAGTCAAGATAAATAAACATGAATCATTTTTTGACTGTTTAAACCCAAAACCTTGTAGTTTTGCTGTGAATTCCACGTTCCATTGTCTGGAAGCTTGTTTCAGACCATAAAGACTTCTGTTAGTTTACAAACTTCACCTAGTTGAGCCTTGGTATAACCATCAGGAGGTAACATGTATACTCCCTGATCAATATAACCATGGAGAAAAGCATTATTTATGTCTAATTGATGTAAAGGCCAACCATGAGCAGCTGCTAACGCCAAAACCAATCTCACTGTAACCACTTTACCTACAGGAGAGTAACTATCAAAATAATCCTCACCTTCCACCTGGTTATATCCCTT